CACTCTTACAGCGTACAATTCAACTCCATTCAGCCTCATTGATAAAGCAACTAGCTCACACACTCACATACACACACACAAACATAAGCACAAACAATCATAATGCAAGTTGATTTTCAGTTCCTGTAGTGGTCTTAATTCTGAGTACTTAAAAAAGGAGGTGTGATGAAAAAATGTAGCCTACTTAGCATTTTAGCTTCAAATACATTAGCATTAGCATCTCCTTTTCAAAGCCGTTAGGTTTTAGGACCACCACTCTAGGTCGACGGATGTACAAATGTAAAAATAAAGAAAGAACAAGACTGACTCTCTGTCTAACATGTTTAGGTCAATAGCAGGCCCTTAGAACATGTTTAGGGAAACATCGGTTTGTAGTTCAGACGCTGCTACAGACAAAACACATCTGAGTGCAGGAATGTGTGAAGGCATATTTTTTTCACATGGTCAACAGAGAAACATACATTACACACACATCATTCAAACATCATTCAGTACACAGAAATAAAGAGACATGCTAGCAAACAAAAGGCAACAACAGTATAAAACAAAACACTACAAAATACTTGCGTTTGATTGGTCGTTTGCAAAACTCTTAATTATTGCAGATTTAGGTTTGAATCACACTTTACAATGATAAGTCATGAAAAGGAGCAACTATATTAATAAATTCAGGATTAGATCACTCGCTTGTTCAAACTACTTATTTAAAACAAAGACTATGGCTGTGTCCGAAACCGCATACTTCCATACTATATAGTAGGCTAAAATCATTATGCAACCCAAGTAGTATGATTCAACAATTAAAATATAAGAAGTACCCGGATGACCTACTTCTTCTGGCGGGATTCTGAAGGTGTGCTGCGCTATCCCATGATGCCCCATGAGAGAATTCATGAATTTGAGTGAAGCGACGCAACTGATGCGGGTAGGTCACAGTAGTACATCAGAATTCCATTCATATTGCTCACATTCAAAATGTATAGAACGTACTTTTCTAACGGTTGAGTAGTATGTTTAGATTGAAATACTGTACAACTGAGTAGTAGGTGGTTTTGTACGCAGCCTATAGAATACTCAGGACATGTCACTCATATAGTTTTGAATGGGGAAAAGTGTAATGATAAATATGGGGAATAAAGCCCCGCCTTCTAGTACAGGAGCCAATCAGCAGTAGACATTTTTTTTACAATGACGTCTCTTTAGCTCCCCCTTTCAGCAACACAGTGTATTTTTAGTTCCGGTTTACCTTTGAATGAATGGGAAACTTTTCTGAAAAATTTACGACTAAAAATATTAACATTGCACATTGTGAATTAAAGGGCCATGAAACCCCCCTCTTTCGGTTTTTTTGGGTTTCAAGTCTACCTCAGAAATACATCATATGGGGCGTGGAACTCTGCGAGCAGAGGGAGGAGTGGGCGTGGCCAGCAGAGCAGGGGAGAAAGATGGGAGCAACAACAGTCAGTTGGCTCACAATATGAGACACAAACTGTGAGAAGACACATGATTTTATAGTTTACAAAGTTAAAATGCAAAGAAATAAACAGTAATTTAATGCGCTGCTACATTTGTTATTCATAATTTCATATACACATAACCACAATTCATTACATCATTATAAAGATAATCATGTTAATATAAACACTATAAATGAGGAGGATTTCTCTCCTCCTCAACCCTTGGGTCTGAATGCAGACAGTGGATAGCAATGCTGCAGGTCTCTTGCCCTGTCTTTTCCAGCCATTAGCCCTGCCGGTAATCTGGAGGATTGTAAACATAGGCTAACACAGCAGCACGAATATAGGCGATGTGTCTGAATGGTAACAAACTCAACTGATAAAAGACAAACTATGCCATTCTCCAATTCTCATACAGCTCACCCGACAAAAATGCTTGCTGCACACAAACAGCTTTGCTGTATCAGCATTGACAGCAGCGCAGAGAAAAACATGCAACAAACCCGTGGATCATGGAAACAAACACATATGACCCTTCATAACTGGCTAAATACTGTCTGCCATATGTGGAGACCGTGGACACGGTCTCATTCAGTCATTTGGTCTTACAGCTTGGCAGGTCTGCTTTGCCTTCAGAAAGCACGTGCTCTCATGAATAATTAAGAAGCAGGGTCTTCTCATAGGATAAGAAAACATAATAATGAGAAACCGATGCGTCATCACTACACTAGCAGATTCGCACTACGTTACTGATTTTGATCTCGCCCCAAAAATTATTTTAAACTCAGAATATGAAATTCGCTGACAAAAGCTCAAAATTATTCAGTTTTTTCCCACAATTAAAGCTGACAAGTGCTAACGTTGTCTTAAGTGATACTCAACACACAAATCTGTTAAAATCTCAAAAACAAAAACAAAAAAAGTACTAGAGGATTTTTTTTTTTTTTTTGAACATCTAGGCCGGTTAAGGTACTGGACATGTCCAAATCTTTCTCTTTCAATACTGCTCTCTGAGTTAAAAAATTATTGTAAAGAAGATTAAGAATAAGTTATTGTTTATCAAGAAAATGATATGTTTGCAACCTTTTTACTTATTAATTCGGTTTCTTTCTATAATAATGAATTAATTTTGTCTTTGATGCTGCAATGAATATAAATTTATATTATTTGTTATGTTAATGTTCCAGCATGAGTAAAATACTTATTAATTATTATTAAATCTTCTCATATTATTTACTGATCCATAAAAAGTTTTTTCAGTTTCTCCGTTTGAACAAATTAAGACCTTTAGACAGTGTCCTGTCGCCAAACAGTGTCCTGCCACCAACTACTGGCTGGTTTTAATTTATTATCTGTATACCTTTTACCCTAATTATTAATAAGTTACAAACAATGTCATAATCTAATAATATTGCATTTTAATCTTATATATAATAAAAATGCAGTCTTCTTATTGTTCGAAAACAGCTGTAGTGCCCATCTAACTATATCCGTTTTAAATAGGTTATATGCAGAAGCATGCAAAAGGACTTTGCAGTAACCTGGGTCAAGCGCTTTCGGTCACTGTTACAAAATCGGCGTGTTTAAAGTCAGTTTTCTTTAAAAATCAATGATATCCACTGCCTGATTGAAATACGATATAAAGTGGGTCTCAGAATGTACAAGAAGCCCTGCATTAACACATTTTTCCATGCCATGTCTTTAAAGTAGTTACATTTATTGTACTCCAGTATTTCCAATGGGGTTTTTGCGCTCGCCTGCTGATCCTGACTGACGTATGCGTGTAAACAGCTTTTAATCTCGGTTTATGCTTCAACAACTAATTGAATGCTGAAGTCTATTTAACTGATTATATTTTAATCACTTTCCCAGAGATGGGTTGCGGCTGGAAGGGCATCCGCTGCGTAAAAACTTGCTGGATAAGTTGGCGGTTCATTCCGCTGTGGCGACCCCGGATTAATAAAGGGTCTAAGCCGACAAGAAAATGAATGAATGAATGAATGAATGAATATTTTAATCACATTACAACATTGATGCTGTACACTGCGTGGAGTAAAACACGTCACCACGTGACATCATGTGAAAAGGGTCTATCGACTGAGGATTCTCCGGGGGAGGGGCTCGGACCAGACAAGAGTTTCTGCAGATTTTGTTAGATTCAAACATTTATAAATGAAGCTATGGAGACAGCTGCTGTTTAATTTTGTTGGTGATTTCTAATATGAAATTTAACTGTAAGCTTGGCTTGTAGAATTTGATGTTTCCCCATTTAATGCCTGAGCATACTGCCCGAGAGGCATTTCAAAGATGGCCGCCGAGTGAAATGACTTGCCTTAAAGGGACTTTGTTAAAAATGTGCTGAGTCAACAAAATTTTTAGGGTTTTTTGAAACAACTTAAATGTTTTATGTTTGATCCACTTAAATTTGTAAAAACAATAAAATTGAATTAATTGATTTGAGTTGGGACAACATAAAGGAATTGTGTGGACCCAATATTTTTTACAGTGCATTATTAGTTTATAACAAAGCTCCTTTTTTATGACTTAAGAGTGTTTAAGCACGAATAAACCCAACATAGGCTCATTCTGAAAGCGTAGCCCTAAATACGTTTCTGGAGATTGCAAATTTATGTAGCCAGAGCTACAGATGGCTACATTTTGTCTTTTAAATGAACGCTATGAGTATGATGCTGTTCTTTTTCTCACTTGCCTCCTTATGGATGGCTTTCCCACTGTTAGCAGTTTGTCCTGTAGCTCGACACATACATCAGTGGGTTTGAGATGCAGAGCGGAGTTCGAGTCTGGCGAAGAACGATTCCAGAAAGCAAGTAAGACTTTTCTAAATTGCTTTTCGACATTGCGGTTGGGTTTAGGGAAGGGGGTGGGCAGGTAAATAGGTGCTTTTAAAAACACTATTGGTTGGGCCTAGGGAAGAGGAAGGGTGGGGGGATCGGTCGGTTGGTCAGTCACTCAACAGCGGCCTTTAGTGGATTTATATGAGAACAGCAGGCACAAATTGCACTTGTGAAAGAAATTTGAGATCTGAAAAAGCGTACAAAGCAGCCTCTGTATTCTCGAAAACAGAAACTGCAAAAAAAAGTTGCTCCTGGGACGTATTTGGCGCTCTCCAGAAATGTACATACGGGTACGTAATCAGAATGAGCCAGGGTTGAATAAACCAGAAACAGCTAAATAACTGCAACAGTTGCATGTACAACCAACAATGTGTCTGACTTTTAACAATTATTTCTCTCTCTCTCTACATATAGTGTTAATATGGTTATGTAAAAACTAAGATAAGAGCACCTTTTGAAATACAATGATCCCCAACAAGAATCTTTCTGGCATACACATTCATACACTCACACACACACATTCGCACTGCAAAATGACTGCTTTCTTGGGTTTCTTAAGTTTAAATAATTTAGCAACATCACAGTCATACTATTTGAAGACACACTTTTTCATGTAACCATTCAGATTATTACTTTGTCTTAAACAGTTAACAGAAATCAACAACAACAAAAACTGTAACAGAAAGCATTTAGGTAAAATGTTCATTAACATTATTCATATTATAAAACAAGAGGGATTGACCATTAAAAAAAAGCCAATAGGGAAGAACAACAAGGTTAAACAGGGGAGGAGGATGGACTTCATGGTTTAAATGAGGGTTTGGACATTTCAAATGAGGTGCATTGTTTACTTTGATAAACCTTGACGAAATTTAGGCCCTAAACTAAGAATTTGTGAGTAACCATTACAATATATAGTCTCCTCAAAGTCCTTCTTGCTGTCGTAAAGTACATAAAGGCCTTCAAGATATAGAAGTTCACACTGGATTTTAAGTACTGGGTTTAAAGGTTGAACACATGCAATTCAATCCAACACAATCTCACTGCAATTCCTTATTATTTTATCATGCACATTTTGAGATTGGGTTGGGTCGATCTCATGAAATCTATCAAGAACATGTTACGTGTCATATTTCAGTGCTAGAGGAAATAAGCAATATTTCAAGTTTTATTTTGACATTGTAGAACTATTAAGGTTTTTAGAATTGTTAAAGTGAACCATATTTTCACCCAAATTTCTCATTAAGGTTTAAAAAATACTGTACTGAAGTCATAGAATTCATTGAGAACAAAATAAATTATGCTAATGGGGACCTGAAGTACAAATGTGCTGGTAAAAATGTTACAATTTAAATAAAGCTGCAAGCAGCATTAACAGGGTTCAAGGTTTTTTAGGCTGTAGGCTTATTTATCAATTAGAAAGCCTGTAATTACTTTAATCTATGATGTAAAATTAGCAGTTACAGTGAACTGTCATATAAAAATCACTTTAATTACCTTTTTAATTCTTCTAGTACCACTTATGGGCGGCAAATTTTACAAGCTTTTCTGCAAACGTCCACTGGCTTGGTAAGCATAGAATAAGTGACGTTCTTGCTGTAGGGCAACAGTGCTAACCACTGGGCTGAAGGGGGAGGAGTAGGGGAGGAAAGGGGTATTCTTCAAAACTAAGATGACTGTGGTATGGAACTTAGGTTACTTATGGAGACTTAGGAATCGTATGATTGGTGAATCATGAATTGGCTAATGCGGAACCCGGCGTGATCAATTATAAGCATTTTATCCCCTCAAAATTAGTTTATAAACTTCCCTTAATGCTACACTTGAACACCTACAAAGACAAAACAAAACAAAAATAGAGGTTGGGGAGAAATATGACCTTAACATGTTTTTGTAAAATTCAACCAATGCAACCCAAAGAAAAATTACAGCTAGAATCTTTCCTGTAATCCTTAGAGGCTTGATGTGCAATAAATGTGTATCCCATTCACTCCTAAAAAAACTGACAGAAACTCACTCACATACATACAAAAATAAATGATTGTAAATGACAGTACTCAAACACACATTGTCCTCGCCCCCACAATACAAAGCGGTGGTAAATAAATAAACGTCCGCGAACTGGGACGGTAGGCTACAGCTTCAAACGGTGTCAGGTCAAGACTACGATAAATCAGTATAGAACTGCTGTGCAAAGTGCTTGCACATTCATTCATCCTCCTGATCCCCTTTTCAGCAAGTTCAAATGAATCAAGTTTTTGACGTGCATACAAAGAACAAGCAGCTTTTTCACTCATCTTCATGCTAGCTCTTAGCAAAACACTTGTACAGTACATGAAAACCAAGTATTTCCAGGATTGGTGGGTCTATTCACAGGAAGGATGCTAAAAACAACACCCTTTTCCAAAGTTAGCAACCCCTTCTCTTAACGTTAGCACTGAGTTAGCATTAGCCTTATGTATACTACTAATTTTGCATTCACGCTCTGGCTGTATTACCATCACTGAGTGTTAAAATCTATTTGTGTCTTTGGAAACTTGCGTAATTCCAAGGTCAGAATCTGTACACTTTATAAAGCTCCATTGCAAGATTATTGTAGTTCTTTTTTTAATTGACATCTTTTGTTATAGGCTCAAGGCTGTGATTGGATACATTTATGAACATTTCCAAGTATATACACAGCTTATATTTATCAAACTGCAGTAATTCCAACAAGACATGAATGTAGGATTAGCATATACCCTCCTGACAGTGCCGATTAGTTGTTGGGGTGCACTATCACAAACTCTACAAACTAGAAAGGCCATGAGAAGCCATTGGATAATCCTGAAAATGCTTGCTCCTCGACATAAAAGGCCACTTTTCCAACCAGTATCAAGTAATAAACCAATACCATACTGGAAAAAACAACACCTGTTCAGGACTTGACCAGGATCTCTGCTGTTCTTGAGTTTCTTGTTTCTTTTTCTTTCTTTTTTTTTAAATAAATTATTCTGTTTTTTTTCTTTTTAATAACTTATTTTACCACAGACAACCTACTTCAAACACAGTACATGCTTTTCTCCAGCTAAATTGGATACAAACCCATGACGGTAACTTGATTCTTTAACATTTAATGACATTACGCAGTCTTGTAACATATCACACTGTGTAAAGTAGGCTCTCTTTGAATTGAATGACTAACTTGTGCAAAACATCTGCAGAGGTGATGGGCTCTAGACTTCTGGAGGAAGTTGTACTGCCTTTTCATCCAGTGCCAGGCACGTCTCGAGGCATTCCCCATCATTTGAAGCCTGTTCTGGACTTAGTTGCTCTTCGCTCCCATCCTCGAGAAGTGGAGGTACTTCGACAGACAAGCTCTTGGCCGAATCCTGCCCGCAGGTTTCTTGTTTTTGCCGATCGCTTTCCATCTCTGGATCCCCACCTTCGCTCACCACCTCCTCTACTTGTGCAGGGAGCGTTTCAAAGGCTGCTGTCTCTACGTGACCTACCTGATAGTAGAGGACAGAAGCAGGGTCTTTGAGCAGGTTCTGCTGGGTCTGTTCATCTGCGTGGTTCTCTGTAATACAGAGCAGGGTGGCACCTTCAGGAAAAGGCCCCTCTAGAAGAACTCCTTCAACACGTTCCATGCCCTCCATTTCAGCCTGGCTGGTCAAGGCACCCTGTAAGAGGCAAAGGGTTGGATCGGTGGCCTGGGTCTCCTCGACCTGCTGCTCCTCCTGTTCCAGTCTCCTTTCCCGCTCCTCTGCACTCTGTAGATGAAGCACGGCTGTCTCGTTCTCACGCTCCAGGCTATCACACTGCTCCTCTTGCAGTTCCTGAATGCTTTGGCTTTCCACTTCCACATCTGAGTCCAACGGTGAGAGAGACAGAGATGGTGAGGAGACTAACTCTGCCTCTTCCACGCAGTCCTCTCCAGACCTAACACCCAACAGGGTTCTCTTTTCTAGGTCAAGTTTCATGATAGTGTGGAGATAGTGTGTTCGCACACGGAGAGGGTTGAACTCAATGCGGCCAGCGGAGTTACCACAACCATCGCGGGTGCAGCCACATGGGAAGGACATACGATCCACCTTTGGAACAATGTAACAAAGATATTAAATTAATGCCTTTTCTTTAAATATGCTAAATCAGTGATTTTCAGTCATGCATCTTGAAGGCCACCTTTCAATAACATTAAGCTCCAGATTCAATTAAGAACACCTAAACTACAAAATAAAAGTCCTTTCCAGGCAGGTGTTCTAATAAAAACTCTGCAAGAAGGTGGCCCTCCAAGGTGTCGTTTTGTTTTAAGACACATAAGTTGTGTGATGTCTATTGTCCACACTACTCTGGCATCTTTAACCTTTTTTTTTTTTTTTTTAAGAAATGAGGGAGTTATGTTTTATTAAGGACAGAATAAAATGCACATTTTTGAAAATGGAGCCACAGCTATCTACCCTCTGACTAGACTGACTATTGTGTATCGTTTCGGATTCGGATTATCGGTTTTCGGATTTCGGGTTATCGGATTTATCTACCACCTCTTGGAGCATTTTCATTCTAAAATGCTTAATTAAAATAAAAAAATGCACTATTGTAAATGGCACCCAGGAGGAGCAGGGGACACCCTTGGGCCAAAAGCAAATTTAAATTCCTGTATCGACTGAATGCCGTAGCTTATGTAATAGGCTTTGCATTAAGCCAACCACGTTGAACATTTAAACCTCCATTTTCTTTCCGGTTCATTAATATTTTTTATGCATAGCCCTGCAATTGCACTGACAAAATTGTACTTTGGAATAGAACTACTTTATTCCACTGTGTTGAGCAGTGATCACTAACCCAGCTCCTGGAGCACTACAATCCTGCAAGTTTCCTCTCAAACCCCAATCAAACAAAACTGAGCCAGCTGATCAAGATGTTGAAGATTATTTGATGATCACAGGAAGGTATGCAAGGACAGGCTCAGAACTCAATTCTTGAGCTGTATCAAAAAATCACCCCTACAGTATACCCTATAAACAGTAATACTAATTTCTAATAGATCGCATTAACGAGTGTACAACCGAAATGGCTAGAGAACACTCATTATCCACTAAGACGGCTTATGTGCCGAATGAATTACACAGCGGAATCCTATTGGTGTGATTGTTTTATATCATGTATTATTTAAATATTGAATTAGCATCTGTATACATAGCAGAAATCTAAATACTTAGTTTCATTACTAATAGACAGCTTGCCAAGTGTTAAATAACTATCACAGGGTCTGACCCAGAGGTTTATTTTTATCAACCAGAAAAGCACAAACAAACTGCATCCTTTCCAGTGCACTCTTTTGAGTGGACTTTATTAGTGAACTAATGTAGGGAAGAGTGAATTAGGGTATAGAGAGCGATTTCGAATACAGCCTGAGAGTATGGCGTAGGGTACACGACAATGAACAGAAACTACATACACTTGACAGGAATATAAAATAGGTTTAAATTTACACAACTTATTGTTGTCTGACTTTCAAGACTACCAAGTGGGTACTCTACCTGGCACTTAATTCCAGCCTGGCTACAGCCGCAGTGCCGTGGGTCGCAATAGAATCGGCAGTCACAACCACACTCCTCCCGGGACAAACGAATGGCACGCAGCTCTGCCTTTTCTCTGGCATCTATTCGGGCGATACCTGAAGCCCTCAGTAGTGCTCGACGGCGTTTGGTTGGAAGGGGCTGCAGGAAGAAGCAGTCATCCACCTCTACACTCTCAACATCCAAATCCTCATCAGATATGTCGTCCAAGGTAAGCAACTCCGCTTCAGGACAATCTACAGTTCCGTTCCGTGTCAGCTGGGGAAAAGGCAGGTAAAATCTTACAATCAAAACAAAACCACAAAGGTAGAATCCTGTAGGGACTAGGGAAGCTGGCATAAAACGAACCTTTAGCTTGCGAGCGTTGAGCTTTTCTTGCCGTAAGTGTTGACGAAGTACATGCTTGTGGCTGCTTTCTTGTTCTCGTGCAAACTCGCCAAGGGTGTAATGTCGTATAGCGCAGTGATGCCTTGCCATGCCCAGGGAGCTTCCACCCTGACTGGGCACACTGGTGAAGCCCTGCCTTCTGGAGAAGTAGTAGACTGTCACTGCGTCAAAGCGAACCTGCTTACGTCCTAAAGACACTTTGTGCCTTCTGAGAATGGAGGGGGCTACAGAAACAAGTCAGAGATTCACTGTAAGCAACAATCTACAAAAAAGCTATCATACTCAACCTAAATGAAATGATGTGGTTTACATTTAGTCTCACATTATTACTTAAAAGTGTTATCACTTTTTACTCATCACATATTGTGGAAATACATAAATGAGATATGACCATAGACTGTAAAAGATATGGATGTAGTATCCATGATGTCACCCATAGGTTTATGAAGAACCCAAAAGAAGCTACCAGTAGGCGTGGCCAACCGTCGCCATTTTGTTTGCGTGTCATTGCACCAACCGGGGCATACCAAATAAGGGGAAAGAGGCGGAGCATGAGCGGAGCTACAGACATCTGCTGGCATTCTGCTTAGATGGGCTTTCCTATGGGAGAAACGCTTAATACTTCATTACCTGCAACTCGTTTGTGTTCTGACCACATGTGCTTGGTTGTACACTATAGCAATAAAGAGTTTAGACTTTTAAAAACACTGTTGTAACACATTGATCCACTAAGCATTGTTCTTATGACGTTTTTCTACAGGAGGAAAACGCAAATTACTTCCAAACACTTCAAATATAGTCTGTGCTAGTTAATGCAAGTCTATTGTTGTAAACTTCTAAGAGCCCAAAAAACCAGGGAGAATCTTTCGGTTGTCTTCAAAGCAGAATCCTTTTTAATAAGAAGAACTCAGCGTGGCTGTGGCGTCATCGAAAGCAAACTGTAAACTGCACAGCAAACACTATACATTTATACATTTCACAGCATGTAGGTGGGTTCAGATGCAAATGAAGGGTTGCGGTCAGCAGGGTAAACTGCTTTTTCAGACCTGGTCTCATCATGTTCTGGGGACAGAAACCGCCTAACTAGTTGACCGAAAAGAAAAAACAAGTTTCACAGTTGTGCTGTGAAACTGACACTTTGCATTACTTTTGAATAAAAGTTTTATATTACCACACTATTTATGAAATCCAGGCATAACATTGTTTGACAGCGTTTCAAATGACGGTTCTAGAGCCTACAGCTAATCAATCTGTCAGATTCTGGAGTGCATTACTAGTCTAAAGAAAAATATAAATGATAAATGATCTTAAAGAGAACAAATACATTAATAAAGATGGTATAAGCATTTAATTTGCACTCACCTGGGAAATGGAGGCCATGTGAATGGTTTGTGAGCACAATCAATTAAGTGCACACAACATGCCGTATCATCTGATAGTTGTAGGAAATAATTCCAAAAGGCAACTGACTGTGTTAAGCCACATAAAACAACACGAAAATACAATGTATATGCCGAGCTCAGCGGCTAATCTGCCGGAGTCAGCTAAGGTGAAGAGACGGCGACCAGCAAGACCTATCTGTCACTCAAGTGGCCACGCCCTTAATTATGCAGACTTAATATAACCTAATATAAAGGACATGGATGAGTTATAAAAAAACTCACGCCCCTCACAGTTGTCTTGAAGGGTAATATTAGCTATATGAACCAAAATCGTTCTTTGATCGAGGCTGTAAACACCTTTTTTTCTGCTGTAAAGTTGGCCAATTTTAACAGTGGGCTCAATAGAAATTTGCTTTATTATGGAGCCAGGACTAGCGGAATTGCGATGAATTACAGTTTCAGTTACTTCTGTATTTGCTTCAGGAGGGATATTTTCAAGCAGAAGATTGCTGCTTAAATATGACTTGAAAGCTGTCATTTGAAAAGTATGAAATTCATTGTGTTAAGACAGATTTTGAAATTGGAGAATGCACTACCAAGGGAAAGTACTTCAAAACCTTTTAGCAAGCTCCTCCACCTAGTGGGTGGTGTCAAATTTTATATTGCAAAATGTACTATTCCATCATATTATTATTTTTGGCTTAGTCCCTTTATTAATCCATGGTCGCCACAGCGGAATAAACCGCCAACTTATCCAGCATGTTTTTACGCAGCGGATGCCCTTCCAGCCGCAACCCATCTCTGGGAAACATCTACACACACTCATTCACACTCATACACTACGGACAATTTAGCCTACCCAATTCACCTGTACCGCATGTCTTTGGACTGTGGGGGAAACCGGAGCACCCAGAGGAAACCCACATAAACGCAGAGGGAACATACAAACTCCACACAGAAACGCCAACTGACCCAGCTCGAGCCGAGGCTCGAACCAGTGACCTTCTTGCTGCGAGGCGACAGCACTACCTACTGCGCCACTGCGCCGCCAAAATGTACTATTATATATTATAATTAAATATTTTTATAAACTTGTCGATTCACATTTCATGAGAGCTATTGTTTCATATTTGCTGCCAGTTTTGTGATAGAATTTATATTGTGAAAGGTGTGTATGGATCAGTGAAAGAAGTATGGATAAACAAATTAGGTAACACTTTAGTTTAAGTACCAATTCCCACTATTAACTACTGGCTTATTACCTGCCTATCATTAAAATACTGGCAGTTTGTTAGTACATATAAATCATGATCTTAGTCTATATCCCTAATCCTACCCAGTAAACTCAACTACTACATTACTAACTATTAATAAGCAGCAAATCAGGAGTCCATTGAGCCAAACTGTTGGTTTTTTAACAGCGGCAATTGCACATTTTTTGAGTGTAAACATGATTTATACACAAAATAAAACAATATTTATAGAATTTCATATTCATAAATTATTTTTTCTTTCCAGTAAATTTAAGCATTTATAACTTTAAAACCCTGTCTTCATTTATTTTAATGCTGAAGTCTCTTCTTTATACAGAGACCAACTTTACACTAAAATAAAACAATAATTAGATTTGCAAAAGTTTTATATGGGCAAATTATGTTGAACATTACCAAATAAAATTAGCTTGTTTAAATTCAGCCCATAAATTGTTTGCAACCAGTTATCTTAAAAAATGCAGTAAATACAATAAATCAGTGTAGGTATGCATTCCAAAACAAGGAGTGTCATGTTCAACATGAGGACTCACAGTTAAAGGGTTAACAAGTTTTCATCTCAATGTAAATTAGTCCAAGAAGGACCTCAATCAACATCCTTTTTATGTCCTGGACCTACATTTCTATAATAGGAAAATCAAACCTCTATGACCTGTATCAATAATCTAAACTGTTTGGGGAACAATCCATTGATGATATTGTACTCTCAGCCAAAAAAAAAAATAACCTAAACCTTAAACATAGTCTAAACTATGTTGTATAGTAGTTTTATCATCCTAAAAAAACTATTTAAAAATCTCGATTAGGCTATGGTGGTTCTTACAAACGAGCAGAAATGTGACAGCCTTATGCATGAACTGACTAAAGTACAGGGGTTAACATTAACAGCCTTACAGCAGTTTAAATAGCAACTTTAAAGGGCACCTATGATGAAAATCCTCTTTTGTAAGCTGTTTGGACAGAACTATGTGTAGGTACAGGAGTATGGTTTCCCCGCCAACCAAATTGATTGACACTTGCCATGTCTCTACAATAACATGTATACACATGTCCACGGAACATTCTTTGCAAAGAAACTAGGATTAAAACATTTGCTACAAGTCTCTGTGATCAGCTGCACCTCAATAATCAATTTTATGAGTTTAAAGCGTTTTTAAAACAGAGCATGTTGGTAATAAAGACAGAAAAATCGCTATGTAATTTTTAACCGCTATAATCACCACGGCCACATGGTGTCACTGTGTATGTATAGGTGCAAACGGCATTTGTGTGTGACTCATCATTTCAAAAAGGCTAGAATAGACTCCACCCTCAGGCCGTACTTTTTTACTTTTACTTGAGAACCAAAGTGTAGTCAGTACTTCAATTTCTACCAGAGTCGTTTTAAACATGAGCATCTGTACTTCTACTTAAGTAAAAGATGTGTGTACTTTTGCCATCTCTGACAACCAAGCACATGTGGTCAGAACATAAACAAGTCGCAGGTAATGAGGTATTAAACGTTTCTCCCAAAGAAAAGCCTGTCTAAGCAAAATGCTAGCAGGCGTCTGTAGCTCAGCTCACGCTTCGCCTCTCCGTGCTTGTTTGGTATCCCCCGGTCGGTGCGATGCCACGCAAACAAAATGGCGATGGTTGGCCTCGCCTACTTGTAGCTTCATTTATGTTCATCAGAAACCTATGGGTGACGTCACGGATACTACATCCATATCTTTTACAGACTGGAGATGCAAATCTTAAAACAATCAAGACAAAAATAAATAAATAAAATCACCATTTAAAACACACCGGCTCACTCATATACAGACAAGTGTTTGTATTCTCTCTAATATTTTTATAACAGGACAATTGTTGCGGCCCGTTCATAACTTACTGCCAGGATGCCTCCATAACACTGAACTCATATAAGATTAAGTTGTTAGTTAGTCTTACGTGTGAGGGAGCTGGAGGGAGCGTTGAGACTGTCGCAGCTGTCAGCGCTGTCACTGCTGGAGATGTCATCATCTGAGTCTTTGGGTGTGGAGCACGGCGAGCCGCTGTCCACCTCCTCGAATCTGCGCTTCAGGCCGCGAGATGACACTGTCTCCATGGAAACACTGCTTCTGAAGGCAATACAGACAGGTACATGCTTTATTCTGACTGACTGACTGACAGAATATCACCACAGAAATCCAACATGAACAGTTATGACAAAAGAGGATGAGCTTTGTATCATTCATTCATTGTCCTTCAGCTAAGTTTGTTATTTACCAGGGGTCGCAACAGCGGAATGAACCACCAACTATTCTGGCATATGTTTTACGCAGCGGCTGCCCTTCCAGCCCCAACCCAGTACTTGGAGGCTTCATATCATATGTAAACTATATAGCAGAATTCTCATACTGTATAAAATTAACATATAGTTAGTGGCACAGTGACTCAGTGGTTAGCACTTGCTGGTTCGAGTCCCGGCTGGGCAAGTTGCCATTTCTGTGTGGAATTGGCATGTTCTCTCTGTGTTGGCATGGGTTTCCTCTGGGTGCTCCAGTTTTCCCCACAGTCCAAAGACATGTATGAGTGTATGTTTGTGTGTATGGGTAAATTGGTGTATGGGTGTTAACCAGTACTGGGTTGCAGCTGGAAGGGCATAAGCTGCATAAAACATATGCTAGAATAGTTGGCGGTTCATTCCGCTGTGGTGATCCCTGATAAATAGAGGGACTAAGCCGAAGGAAAATGAATGAATAAATGTATAGCTAATTAATATTACTACAATTTTAAATGTAACAAAGACCTGTTTATACATGCACACACACACACACACACACACACACACACACACACACACACACACACACACACACACACACACACACACACACACACACACATTTATATGCAAATATGTATGTGTGTGTGTGTGCATATAGAAACAGGATTGTTACATTTAAAATGGGAGTAATATTAATTAACTATTAGTTAAATACTTAAGAGTTAGGTTTAGTTGCATGTAATTATGCATAATTACTACAGCAGGTAAATTATTTTGTGCTTTTATCAGTACAAGAATCAATTTGGTAAATATGTTGATATTTTTGTAATATTAAAAATATAAATTTTTATAAATTATATATATTTGTTCATACAAATTAAACTTCGAATTTATTTATTTGTTCTACAAATTAGAATTATGCAATATATAAATATCTAAAATCTTATTTTATTTAATCTTATATCGCAAAATTTAGGGCAGCATGGTGTTGTAGTCGGCAACACGATTGCCTCAGAGCAAGATGGTCGTTGGTTCAGTTGGCATTTCTGTGTGGAGTTTGCATGTTCTCTCCGTGTTCGTGTGGGTTCCCCCCACAGTTCAAAGACATGTGCTATAGGTGAACTGAATTAACTAAATTGGTCGTAGTGTATGTGTGTGAATGCAACAGTGTATGGGTGTTTCCCAGTGTTGGGTTGTAGCTGGAAGGGCATCTGCTGCATAAAACATATGAATAAGTGAATAAGTTGGCGGTTCATTTAGCCTACCCAATTCACCTGTACCGCATGTCTTTGGACTGTGGGGGAAACCAGAGCACCCGGAGGAAACCCACACGAACACAGGGAGAACATGCAATAAAATTTCATTCAAATCTAATTTGATTGAATTAAAAATAACCTTGTTTAAAAATATGAATACCTTTTAAAAACGTAGATATTTTTAGAACTGTAATAATTTCTGAGTGTTCATTCATCAGGGCTCTAAAGTGCAACCAATTTGCTTGCACATATAATGGTGCAACTAAAAAAAATCTCATAGTTATTCTTTAATCAGTGCAATTAAGTACAGCACAGTGGTGCAATGAGTAGCACAAATGCCACACAGCAAGAAGGTTGCTGGTTCAAGCCCTGGCTGGGTCAGTTGGCATTTTTTTGTTGAGTTTGCATGTGTTGCCGTGGGTTTCCTCCGGGTGCTCCAGTTTCCCCCACAAGTCCTGGTATAGGTGAATTGGTTAAGCTAAATTGTCTGTAGTGCACGTGTGTGAGTAAGTGTTTATGGATTTTTCCCAGTGATGGGTTGCAGCTGGAAGAGTATCCGCAGCATAAAACATATGCTGGATTAGTTGGCAGTTCATTCCGCTGTGGCGACCCCAGATTAATAAAGGGACTAAGCCGAAAAGAAAATGAATGAATAGAGCAATTTATAAATATGTAAATTATTGAATGCATTTTGGCATATAAGAGTATAATAGTTAATTTTACTTGAAAATACAAAGAATAAAAAAAATACAACAAATAATTTTTTTGATGTCATTTTATTGCATGTTAAATGTTACAATCACAAAGACTTTTATTAAACAAGCACACTACCACAAGATGTTTTTGTTGATGTAAAATTATACCTCATTTTCATAATCTAGCCTTCTTGATCCTTAATATGAATAGAAAATTGTATACAGAATCATGGTGGCGCAGTGGGTAGCATGATCGCCTCATAGCAAGAAGGTTGCTGGTTCGAGCCTCGGCTGAGCCAGTTGGCATTTCTGTGTGGAGTTCGCATGTTGTCCCTGTGTTGGCGTGGGTTTCCTCCGGGTGCTCCAGTTTCCCCCACAGTGGAAAGACATGTGCTTTAGGTGAATTGAATACGCTAAAGTCGTCCGTAGTGTATGTGTGTGCATGCAAGAGTGTATGGGTGTTTCCCAGTGTTGGATTGCGGCTGGAAGGGCATCCACTGCATAAAACACACGCTGGATAAGTTGGTGGTTCATTCCGCTGTGGCGACGCCTTATTAATTAAGAGACTAAGCCAAAAAGAAAATGAATGAATAAAATTGGGTACAATGCGATTCAGTCAAAAATTTGGGTGCACATTACTTTTGTGCTGATGCTCTAAGAAAAAAGTTAGGCGCACCAGTGCAACCAGAACAAAAAGTTAGTCTAGAGCCCTGTTTATTCACTTTCCTTCGACTTAGTTTCTTATTTATCAGGGGTCGCCACAACGGAATAAACCACCAACTATAATGGCATGTTTTACACAGCGAATGACTTTCAAGATACAATCCCAGTACTGGGAAACACCCATACACACTCATATTCACACTAATACACTACGGCCAATTTAGCTTATTAAATTCACCTATAGCGCACGTTTTTGGACTGTGGGGGAAACCAGAGCACCCACATGATCATGGACAGAACATGCATACTCCACACAAAAATGCCAATTGGCCCGGCCGGGACTTGAACCAGTGACCTTCTTGCTGTGAGGCGACAGTGTTAACCACTGAGCCACCATTTAAGAGTGTTTAAGTTTTACAAAAATGATCAACAGCTGCCATGTTGAATAAAAATATCTCATTCCGCAGCGACTGAAATACATAATAAATGCCACGTAAAACAATCTGGAGGCTTATGCAATGTCACCTATTTTTTCTACCTAAAGCTTGACGTTCGCTTTTTATCCAGAATGAAAGTCCTGCTTAAAAATCATGAAGCCTGCAACGATCACCATGGTAACTGCTCGAAAGCAGTAGCCCTGAAAAAAAAAACTGCGATCTTGTTTTGGGTTTCTTTCAGTCCCATTCAAACCAGTGGAACCTTACAAACAACAAGCCTTTGCAAGCCGATGACAAGACCAGCTCAGTCCAACCCGAGAGGTCAAACAAGGCCGAGTCGGGACGTTTGATCAGACCACCTCCTTAGCCCGAGGGAACTGTGTAATACAACTGCTTTGAGGGGCTCCATGCCTGATTTTCTTCACGATTAAACACTATTTTTAAACAGTCAATGGCTTTTTACAGGGCTAAATGAGTACAGTTTGGTGGTGGCTTTCTGAGAGTCGACTTCTATCATGTGAAGGAGAGAAGAAAAAAAAATGAGTGACAATTAAACTCACAGCATAATGGATTTAATCCCACAGATTTGTGAAATCCATAAAAACTGGATTAGTTTCATGAATTTTGATTAAGAATGCTAAGGGAACAGCATTAGCCTGAGGATATGAATGCATTACATATTCACTTTTATAATCTCATTCGTTCAATAAATCAGGTCAGGTAGTCTTGAATGCATATGGATCACACACACAAATTCAGAAGACGTAAAAATAAAAAGTATATATAATTTATATATAATATATATAAAATATATATATATATATTATATATAATATATATATATATATTATATATAATATATATAAATAATATATATAAATATATTATATATACTTTATATATTAATATAAAGTATATATAATATATTTATTTATATATATAATAAATAGAGCTGAAGTCAAATTTATTCACGCTCCTGTGAATTTTTTTTAAATATTTCCCAAATGATATTTAACAGAGCAAGGAAATTTTCACAGTATTTCCTCTAATATTTTTTCCTCTGGAGAAAGTCTTATATGAAGGTAATTCAGTTGCGAAACTCGAGAGCTTGCAAATGTAAATGTGAGCACTTGTGATAATAATATTTGTATGTGTAGGTTGAAATGTACACTTACAGCTCTGATGTGAACAGCTGAAATCCTCGATTTGCACACACACACAACAATCCACACACTTGTGTTTTAAATTGGAAGTTGCAGATTAATAGTTGTGCATTTGTAAAATGTCATTCACAAATACAAAGTGACAGACACACGTGTGCAAGGCAAATTTGATTGCATCTTTGCTCTACAACCACAGGTCGGCACTCACAACCTCTCAGATTCGTCAGTACAACTACAAATCTCCCGCGCTCTGACTTTTGCAACACATCTCCCGCGATCTCTGTAGCAGAACTCATCTGTGCACTCGCAGATGCAGAGGCGTGAGCAGCGCTGGGCAGGGGAGGGGCGGGGCTGGTATAAAGCTGTTTGATTGGCTGATGCCTGACCAATGAACAATGCCAGCAGCCAACAGGACTGAGGTGCAAAATAATAATTTCCCACGATTATTTCATTAGTTAGGGTTTATTTAAACTCTTTTCTGAAGAGATTTTTGTTAAAAATAATAAATTCTGTGGAAATGTACATACCAGTAAAAGAGCAGCAAAGCCAGTTTATTGGCTAGAGCCAGCCAATGAGATGGGGCGTTTCTGTTTGTCAGCACACAGGGCAGCTCACGTTGTTGGAGGCCTCGAGCAAT